TCGTCGTATCGATTTAGGCACCGACCGATTGCAGTACACCTGTACTGAAGGATGAAGTCTACAGTGATCTTTCTCAACTATTTCAAAGAGTTCGATCAACGGAGACTTCAATGCTCAAGTGGGAACCCTGTAGGAATCAGAGAGGCTTCTTGGCGGACCACATGCAATCCCAGCCAACCGGACAGACAACGGATTTCGCCTAATTCAACTGTGCGCCGACCACGGACTGTTTCTGTCAAGCACGAACTTCTCGCACAAGAAACGACACTGTCCTTCATGGAGGCCGCCAAGCTCGTCACAGCGCTAGACCCAATTCGACCACATCGCTATCAGTTACCGCTGGAGAAGGTCGATTCAAGACTGCCACTCTTACTGGTCAACACCTGTATATGCAGGCCACGCCTTGTTACGAGCTAGCTTCTTCATACACCTGGTAAAGTGCCACAAAAGCGTACAATATAATGTTAGCATTAGTTGCATACCGGGCTCCGAAGCCACGCTCTCTGATCGCCTCTCAGCTGAACCGACCACCGAAGGACTCAATGAACACTGGATGCAAATGGCGATAAAAACAACGGCGTATTCTGGCGCACGATCAAAGTACAAACGATAGATATCGTCGACGTTGACAGCCTTGCTGTACACCCGCGGAAACCTTCCTGCAGGTGTCAAATTTGGAACAGCACGCAAATCCATTAAACGTCAGCTCATCAAGAACTTGAAGAATGACCGCGATAAGCGGCGAGTACGAAAGTGTAGAGATTAAATAGGCTGCGATTATCGGTTATGGGAATACTGACCTCAGGAATGTGGGTTCAAGTGAGGGGAATAGTGAATCCGATGACCCGCTGATTCCTCATCAGCAACGCCGTCTTGAACGATGGGCTGGACATCTCGAGGCTCAGTTCAACTGGCCTCCATCGACAATAGGCCTGTCGATCCCTGCATAAACGGGGGAACTACTGTCAGTTAACCTCAACCCTCCATCTGAAGTGGAAGTTACTCGGGAAGTAAATTACCTCAAAAGGTATAAGGCTTCCGGCCCGGATAGGCTGTTCCCATCGGTTTTTAAGGACATCAGCCTTGGTTTTGGAGTTAACGAACTCGTGGGCTCAGTGTGGTAGAGCGAGAAAATTTCAACTGAATGGCGTGAATCAGTGGTCATACCAATTTACAAGAAAGGCGACAGGTCCTCTTGTGAAAACCACAGAGGAGTTAGTTTAGTCAGCATCATCTTCAAACTTCTCTCTGGCATTATACCCCGTCGATTGTCCGCCGCAAGTAAACGGTGCATGCGTGAGAACCAGACTGGTTTTAGACCTGGTTGAGGTTGTATGGGCCACATCTTTACTCTTCGTCAAATCCTAAAACACAGACACTCCTTTCGTAGACTCACTGTTTCCATCTTCCTTGATCCGAAAGCGGCTTTCGACTCAGTCGTCCGCTCTAAACTCTGGCGCTGCCCTTCCCTGAAGGGTGTGCCCGAGAATTCTATTTCAATATTTCAATATACTAATAGCTGAAGCCGAGTCCGATCTTGCGGCACTTTTTCACCCGAGTTCACTACGGAAAGTGGTGTTCGGCAAGGTTGTCCTCTCTCCGTTTCTAATTAGCTTTGTCCTACATTTAATTCCTAAAACAGTCCTTTCCTCGTACGAGGATTGTGGTATCCATTTACTCGCAGGTGGCAGACTGTTTAATCTAGAGTATGCAGACGACATTATGCTGTTAAGTGAAGACCCAGGTAAGTTGCATGCTTT